AAGTCTCTAGAGTGTGATGCATTTGCAACATATCAACACTGCAATCTGTATTATTTCTGATTTTATAGTTTTAGGATTTCTTTTTGAATTGTTCACTTAAAAATATCACCAAGCAAGCCATTCTGAGTCACTTCTTTAAAATGTATAGCAACACTGGAGAAACTTTACACATATATCAGTGGGGAAGGGCTCCTAGCTTCGTCTGTGAATAGTAGCTTAGGGAAAGTAATTTCCCTTTAGCAGTATTCAATTCTCCCTCCAACCAAAAATAAATTTCTGTTGTAGAAATTCCCAGTGTCCTACAGAGTCAGACACCTGGAGAGGCAGCTGACAGTCCACACTGTGTGACATTATGCATTTGAATCTCTAAAACCAGCGTGTGGAGCCTCAACCAGGATTTGAGGTCAGCATGACTAGTAGGCTATCTTCAGCAGACTTTGTATAAGAAGTCTGAAATTTGCAGCAACACTGGACTATCTTCCTATCATCTTCCCTATTCTGAATTTCTGAAGACCTCATATGGCTCTGTCCATCCCAAAGGGGCTGCAAAAGCCCCAGGTGTCCTACTCACACCAGGATCAGCTTTCACCCTACTTGCAGGCTTAGTATTTGGCATACTATAACTTTGCTTTTTAGCCATTTCTTCCCACTGGTTCCGCTTAAAAGTGGAGAAAATCTATCTTTGTGAACTTCTTGCTGCAAGGGTTTTTTTCTGATTAAGTCAAAATATTAACTAGAGAAAAACAGTGAAAAGACTCAGAAGGCAACAGATGATACCTGAAATGATGGACAATGTTGTAGCTCTTGAAGTTAAGAAATGCAGGCACCAAAATGGTATGCAAGTTAGGGTATGTGTACGGGCTCCCCTCTTCTGGTGCTTTCTGTGAGCCATTACAAAACATAATTGTAGGGGAAAGGTGCAGGAGATGATATCTTCCAAAAATTGAGAGAAAATATGTTATAGAAAATAATTAAAGACTTTTAATTTACAATTGCTGCTTCAAAAGCAGCTACTGCAATCAGATGCAGTTTTGCAAATGTTACCAGCTTCAGCTGTAGGAAGCTCATCTTCCTTATTTCCTTCTAAATGAGCAACCAAACAAACTGCGGACATTCCAGATTCTTGATCTCTCCAAATCTAATTTAATTCAAATACAAACCACACAGCATCTTGTTAAAATAGACTTGTTAAGATGTGGCTCAGACTTGCTGCTTGACGCAAGTGAAGGCCTTCTGAAGACAGATAAGTTTAGTCCAAGGCACTATGAACATTCAACCAGGTCCTGATTTTCACAAACCCCAACATTTCAGCAGCATTTTCAAGAAAATCTGTAAGTAGCATTTTTATTTATATAAAATACAGCAATAAATGGTCAAATTCATCAGTACTATTTGTTTTATAGAATGATCAAAGGACAGACTCAGTGTTTCTGTGTTTTCCAGTGGTTTTTTTTTCCGTTTCAGATGACCCATTTGCAATGGGCCACTGAATACTGTACTTCAGTGCGTGTTCTTGACATATCTTTCACACAAAGTCTCCAAACACCTCAGAAATATTAATAAATTTAGCTGCAAAAGCAATAATAATTTCAGATTCGCATTCATAGAACCTAAGGCTCAAAGTCTTCCTGAATATCTGTGGCAGATCTAAAAATGAAATTCAATCTTCCAATCATTCTGAATTATGCTTTACTACTAGATCATGAAATCACACAGTCTAATTCAGGTTGGAAGGGACCTCAGGAGACCAGCTTGTTTATTCACCCCCTCAAAGCAGGGCTAACTACCACTCTACACCAGTTTGCTCACGGTGTAGCCAAGGTGCAGCCAAGGCCTGAATACCCCCACAGGGGGAGGATGCACCATTGCTCTGGACAACCTCTTCCAGTGTTTGACCACCCGCATGGGGAAGATTTGTTCCCCTCGTCTCCAGACAGCATCGCTCTTCCTGCAGCTTGTGATCATTGCCCTGTTGCTGGGGTCCTCTCAGAAGAGCCTGGCTCTGCCATCCATCCAGCTCCCCTCAGGCATCAAAGTCTCCATCAAGGCTGTCTCTTCTGCAGGACGGACAAACCCAGCTCCTCAGCCTCTCCTCCTGCACCGTGACTACCTTGGTGACCCTTCCTGGTCTCCCTCCTGTTGGTCAGTCTCTCTCTTGTCCTGGGCACCACAGTTGGGTACAGCTCTCTGCCCTGCCAAGGGAGACCCTCAAAAGCCAAGCAGAGGGGAGGGACCCCTTCCCTGGACCTGCTGGCTGCCCTGTGCCAGCACAGCCCGGGAGGGGGTTGGCCACCTTTGTTGCAAGGGTGCACTGCTGACCTGGTGCAGCTTGTTGTAAAACAGCACCCAGGACCTTTTTGGCAGAGGTGCCCCAGGGAGTCATAACCCCCAGCCTGTACTGGCGCATGGGGTTATCACAGCCTGATGCTGGGAATTTGTTTTTTGCTTTTGTTGGACTTCATTACCTTTCTGTCAGGCTGTTCCTCCAACTGTAAAGCCCCATCAGAAGAGCATCTATGCCCTCCAGCATATCAACTGCACTCCAGATTGGTTTCATCATGAACATGGGGAGAGTGCACTCCATGCCATCAACCAGGTTACTAATGAAGAAGTTGAACAACACTGGCCCCAACAGAGGCAAGTGCAAAATACCATACAGCGTGGACCACCCAATTGCTGTCAAACTGCCACCCACTTTATAGTGTGTCTATCTGGTCCATTTCTTCTCAGGCTGATGACCAGGGTCTTATGAGAGGTCATGTCAAAAGCCTTGCTAAAGTCAAGGTAGACAACATCTATTCATCTCTCATACTCAAAGACAGTAGTTTATTCAGAGAAGGCAATCAGGTTTGTTAGGCATGATTTGCTCCTGATCGGTCCATTCTGACTAGCGTTAGGTTGATGGGCCTGTAGTTCCTCACTCAACTTTTCTGATGATGGCTGTAACATTTGCCTTTCTGCAGGCATCAGGCACCAACCCCAGCCATGATCTTTCAGTGATGACAGACAGCAGCTTCATGATGACACTAGCCAGCTCCCTCAGCAGTCTTCAGAGTATCCCGTCTGGTCCCATGGAGCAGTTTATTTGAATAGGCCCTAACTCCATCCTCCCCTACTGTGGCTACTATCTCCTTCCCCCAAGTTTGGCTTCTAGGGGACAACCTAGGAGGCCTGAGAGCTGACTTTGACAGTAAAGCCTGAGGCTTCAAGGAGCAGTGGGTCCACACTTGCCCCTCTCTTCCTTCTCATTTTTGCTGCTGGCGCACTTGTGGCAGCCATTCTTGTCCTCACCAGTTTTGATTTCAGCCAAGCTTTGACCTTCCTTATTCTGTCCCTATCTGCCTGGACAACAGTTCTGTGTTGCTCCTTGGTCGCCTGTCCCCACTTCTACCTCTTGTCTGCTTCCTTTTTGCATTTAAGCTCAGTCAGGGGCTCATCTGTCATCTCAAGTTCCTATTACAGATTTTCCCTCTAATTTCTTTGAAATCTTATACTCAGTGGTATAACTCCCTTTCACTTCAACAGAGCTAGAATTTTACCACCCGTTAGAAATTACTACTATCAACTCTATCACCATGATCATAAAATTTTGGTATGCTGTCATCCTCTATTACAAATAGATGCTTCTGCTATAAATGATTTGTTTTATATAATTAAGCTTCACCTAAAAAGACTACAGTTTAATACACCATTGTATCTTGTGTCATCTTACAGCAGCAGCCTCCCAAATATGACCTAAACAATTCATGGTGACAACAGATATAATTTTAGTCTTCCACACAGAATTTTAGCAACTGGAAAATGTTTTCCAACTGTATTCAGCAGTACATATGAACATTCAGCAATGCTATTTTCACTTTTCAGAACTAAAAGAGATATTTGCAAACTCTGTAAACTTCTTTTCTTTCAAACATACTTATAAAGACCTGATGGCTAAAGAGAGCAATACCCAAGAGTCCTTCTGGAAAGCATTAACTCCCAAGAAACAAAAAAGACTAAAATTTCATCCACATTTTTGAGATGACAGGAAAATTTTCAAGTTATGAAAATATTCACAACTTCCTGAACAACACATTAATACTCAAACCCTAAACAATGTTTGCTGTAGTTTGAAGCACTGTGAAATGCACAGGAAATATAAAATGTAAAAATATAAAAATGATGCAAAAATGATGTAAAAACAATGGCAAATTTATGTTCTTGTTCAGAAATACCTTTCACTAGGAACTATTTACACTATTTTCTCAAATAGATTGATTAAGATGTGAAACATTTTTAAATGGTTATTTTCATATATTTAAAAAATGTGCTTGCAAACGAAACAGAACGCATGTTAGATCATTCTTTCTTCTTTCACAATTAAATGTCAACAAAAACTTGGCACTGGTACTTAACACATCTACATCTCTTTCCCACGCTGCTCTCCATCCCTGCTTTCTTGCAGCTCCTGCAATCTAAACTGCCCTCCAGACCTTGGTGCACTCAGGTTCTAACTTCTTCCTTCAGAAGCACCCTTAACAGCACTTCTTTCAAAAAGCTGAGTAAGTAAACCTTTCTAAAGACCCCAAGGCTCCAACCCAAACCCATGCTGTTTCTCTCACAGTCTGAAGATTGAAGATGCTCTAGTTCCAACAAAACCCCACCTGGTGATTCTGAACTAACCCTTTCTTTCCTGTTTCACATCTCACAGTCCATTTCCTCCTCTCCTATAAGAAATGTGCAGCAATAATAACAGTATCTCCTACACTTCTGTGATGAGAGCTTATGTCCAGTTCCATATTCCTTCAAAACTCCCTCCCCCCTTACTCACACGGGATGTCTTTCAGTTCTGGGTAAGCAGATTTTCCCAACGCCTTCACAAAGCGTATCACTGTTACATTACTTCATATATCTTAAGATTCATCTTTGTCTCTCTGGTTGCCACTTCCCCAAGGCAAAGGTAATGTTTTTCCACAATTCTCTTTAACACTGATTATATCACACAGATAATTTTTAATTACCTTTCTGTTCAGAGCCACGCCATCTTCACAGTCCAGCACTGCACAATCTACATTTAGTGACGGGATTTTACGTATCTTCTTTTCATCATCGGCAGGTACATACAGCACAGCTCGCCTGGGAACATACTTGTGAGATGATGCATAGTGATAACTAAGCTTAGGAACACCAGCTGGCAGAGGAGAATCCACCCTGTAAAGGATATTGTTGAAATTAGACTGTTAGCTAAAATGCTGTAAAGAATACTTGACTACATTTAAAAAGGAATCATTACCACATAGATAGTGGCTGGTTTGGGATATTTTTTTTTTCTTAGGAAGAGTCAAGGTAGGGAGATAGCAGTATTACAGTTAATTACAGTATAAAACTCCAAAACTACTATGTTCAACAGAAGTTGCAAACTTAAACACCCAGAACTGACGAACTGCCAGGGCTGAGGTTATCTGTGCAGCCCTAATTACACTGCCATTCTGTGTGCTATGGCAAGTAGTAAGTACAGAAGGGTGGTGGTTGGATTTTCCCCTGTCATAGGACTCCTCCATAGGATGGAGGCTGTGCTGGGAACGGATCAGGACTGCTTTAGGGGAGGAGGCTGCTATCTGCCACGTTTCCTCCAGGAGCTGGACGGCATGCTGTGAATGAAGCAGGGGCATTGGTTAAAACAAACATGGGTTTGCAAAGTCGATTTTTGCAACCTGAGCGTTATATCAACAAACGTATTTTCATGCAAATTTTAAATAAGCAAAATGGAAGGAGGAGGGAAATGAAGAAAACAGGAATGAAAACCCCATGTAACGTGGAACCTCACTAATGTCCTCTCAGAAGCCTTCAGACCTTCAAATCCACAGCACAGACTTCCATTGACAGAGCTCATAAACCCACCAGCAACACCAGCAGGTTGTTGGCTGCGGTGCCTTTTAAAATTTATAAATGATTTGTGCACCACACTTCAGTGCAGGTGTGAGCCTGTGGTGCTGCATGGCTTGAGTGGGTGGCATCCGTATGGCCCGTAGGCGTCAGGTTTGTGGTGGTCTCCACCCTGTGCCAGTGCTCCCAGTGAGGGACCAGCTAACCCATGCCAGGCTGGTTTACTTGGAGGCAGTGGGGCTGCTGGAGGAGGCTGCCCTCAAGTGCGGTAGGGAGCTTGCTTTGCTCCATAATTACAAGCACAGAGACATAAACTGCAGAGGGTGCCACTGTTTTTCATGGCCTTCCAAAAAAAACCCCTTGCCTGCTCCTGTTCCTCCCCATTTCACGCTGTAACCTCCAGGCGTATTCTGCTACATCAAAAATGAGGAAAAAATAATACAATTTGCCTTCATACTCAGAGCACAAGTCACTTATGCCACAAAATAATCCTACCATATAACACCATTATGCATTATCATGTGTATTATTCAGCACTTTGAATAATGCAAAGCTTTTCTAGCACCATGCTGAACATGTAATTATTGCATCATGTCAGGGACCCATGCATTTTCTTATGCCCCTCTTAATAATGCTTCCCAAGTTGCTACACTTGGATGACACATGGCTACATGTGCACGTGGGTTTTCTTCAAAGTGAACATGACTAACCCTCTCAAGCACTTGGAAATTAGTTCAGTCAGTCTAAATTAGAGCCAAAGTAATGTGTGGCTGACATACCATTATGATACTTGCCTTTCTGAGCTAACTCCATTGAAGAACCCTCTCTTCCCCTAGAGTGTGCACCTTAAAAGCTGAATATAAGTCTTGGGTTAAAAACATGAAGAAAGTTTTTGTCACATTTTATCTCGCTAAACTAAATTGAGAAGGACAACTATTCTACCACCTCCTCTGCTGCGTCTCTGCATGTCCTGAGTGGACCCACTTTATGAGCCCACAAAAACCTGCTGCCAGACTCTTCTTTGTAATATGACTGGTAGTGTTTAATTCAGCCCAAGAAACAGGGCAGCTTTGCTGTTAAACAGAAACGTCACATTATTTTATTATGAGTGCCAGTGTTACTCTTGTTAACAAATCTTCTTCATCTCTAACTGCAATAGCTTCAAGACTTAGCTGGTGGAGGTCCTGACAACACCTGGAAACATGTAGCTGAGATCCATTGAGTCTCTCCTAAGTACCTTCTTTGCCCCTCTCCCGTAGACCACTTCATGTCCCCTGCCTTGTGTTGAAGTGGGGATGGTAACACAACTTGTGGCAACTCAAGTGGCTGCTAGTTAAATCCACTTAATCCCATTTTCTTGCAGCAGTACACTTTGGGAGAGCAAGGAGGAGGTGGAAGAGTGGTTTATCTCAAATGGAAAGAGGAGGGTCTTTTTTCAGTGTGACACAGAGGTCAGTAAAGAAGTTTGCAGTCCTTCACTAAACATATATGAGGGGACAAAAGTGATTAGTTTCTATTCTCTTTCTCTGATGGTTTCAACCCTGTAGTTCCCAAAGGCACAAAGGAGTCAAAGAGCTCAGCCCATTAATGGTTAACTCCAGCCTAGAGCCAAGCAGCCCCTGAAGCACCCTTAATGACTGCCTCTCACCAACCTTCCAGCCCGCCAGAAACCTGATAGACATGGCTAACACCATAATCTCAGAGCACGCTGAGATGAGATGTATCTCCTGTCACACATGTTTCCCAGGATTTCTTCTGGGCTGTCATCAAACCAAGCACTGTTTGACCAGCTGGTTTCCCTCGCACTGCTGCAAGCCCCACGAAGGCAGATCTGCTCTGCATACCACGCACAACGGCCTGTAGTATCGTATAGGTAAAACCGTCGTTACCCGCAGACCAGAGTTAGTCGGGTGTCCCCACTGAGGTCTGTGAACTTTGGTTTAGATGGGGGTGCAGTATGGCTTTCCCAGCAGTCTGCCTGACTCCGGAGAAGTGGTGGATTTAATCCATTAAAATACTATCACCTAATAGGCTTAATGTTAGAAATACTATTGCCTGGTGACTATTGGTATCTCCTCCTCATCTTTGTAGCCACGTGGGCCCAAAACACAGGTTTCTCAGGACACGGATTGTTGAAAAATTATACTGTCAATGTGACAAATTAATAGCCTTATAAAACATCTTAGCAAGTTGAAGAAGCAACAATTTTTCCAAGAGATATGGCCAAAAAAAAATGTACAGGAGAAATTGGTGTCAGTGGAACAATGCAGCATCCTTCTCCTTTCAAGACAAAGAGCTATAGGAATGTATGTGTAAAATAAGAGTTTTCAACAAGTTTGCTTAAGTGTGACTGCAGTAAATGTTTCCATATGCTATTATTTTGACATATATTCTTAAAAAGTCTTCTGTTATCACTGTGAATTTTCCTTGCATAGTCATATTTTACATTCTACAATAAAATGAGATGTAGAGGAAGAAGTGGATTTGTTAAGAAATCCATTTGCCTATAGACCTTTTTAAAACAGTGGCAGGGCCCAGGGTGCTATGCATATAAGCAGTTAGCTCCTCCGGTAGGAAACACTGTCCTGATTATCTTGACTTCTGTTATTTTGATAGAATAAAAACATCCCCAGTAGTTACTTTTTTAGGTCAAAAACCCCCACACAGCACTGCAATCTCAATTATATTGTTAAACCCCATGCCATAAAGAGGAAGAAAATCTTACATGTGTTTCCTGACTGCAAGTATTTTAATGATTCAAACTAAGCTTGAATATGCTTTATACTAAACACATGGACATAAGCCAAGTGAAGTTGCTAAGACAATGTTTCTTCCTTTAAGCACTGTAAGTTTAAACAAGGACTAGGCTATTGGGTAATGCTCATTAAATTGTTTTACAGCAGCATATATCCATTCATAGCATCTAGCAGCATGCTGAATGCTCTTGGGTCTTGGAAATGAAACTAAATTTCTTCAGCAAACATAACACTCTACTAAAATCTTCATCAAATATGTAAAAGTAGCTGGAAAGTTAAAGTTACTTCTGATCCTCTGAGAACCGTTTTACCCAAGAGCAAATAGTTCATCCTCAGGAAGGAGAAAACAAAACCTTTTTGATTACTAAGAGACATTGCACTTCGCAATGGCAGCTATACAGTGTGACTGCAACCAGTGAAATTACCCAAATTATACACATTTCCCTGATGTAAACTGCATTTTCGCATTCCAGCATTTCTCATACTTACACATATACTTAACTGCACACACCTGTGCAGTCTCATTGGAGCCAACAACGTATCGCTCGCAAAGTAAAGCACTCCCACAGGTGATTTTCAGGATCAGCACTTTAACTTGCACCTCTGTTCCCTGTTTATTTACTAGATCAAATCATCCCTGGAAGAGATGCTACACCGTGATCTGCCTAACGCATGGAAAAATATCCATTGCTCAACAGGCCAAATCTCTCCTTCTACAATCTTTGGCACAGTGTTGGCTAAGTGTTCCCGAAGAGCATTTTTAGGCATTTGACTAAATCATTAAAAAAGCTGGACAATTTCCACAATGTGTATTTCTGACCTGTATGCACGTAACTGCATACCAACCACAATCCTGAATAACTGTGGTGCTGTGGCAGAAGGACAGAAGTGACTCAAGACCTAAGACACCACTGAAAACAACCCAGCTAACGCAGCAAAATCTCCTACAAATTATTTCTCCAATATGTGCAAAAAAACCCCCAGAGTAAATATAATGGTTTTACTACGTCAGATTTACTAGGGAGTAGCTCACAACCGCACACAAATAATCCACCAAAGACAAAGGAAACTTCTACGAAATTACAGAGCCCTGCAATTTGCATAGTAATTCTTTCTAATTAAGAAAAGAAGATATAAGTTGTTTGTTATAAACATCAGCAGGCCCTGTGCAAATACGAAGGGCTTGCAGCCGAGCTGAGTATTTGTCGAATCAAAGCGACTCGCCGGAGAGTTTTATTGGTACAGCTGCGGCGCATGCATTTTATCACACATGCTAATAATCCTGGTTATGGCACTAACATTTTAATCATTTGTTCTGTGGGCTTGTTTCTCAAACAATTAGCACTAATGAATGGCCAAAATACCTCGGATCATATATGTCTAATTGCAGTCAAGAGCGGTTATTGTCCGCATGTACATTTCAATTCACCTCTGGGGATAATGTTTGTTAATTGTATTTCTTTATATAGCAAGTGAAAAAAGGCTGTTCACTCAAAAAGGGACTAAGTGTTCTCTTCTTTCCCTTTGTTCCCACAAGAAGCTAAAGTCACTTCAAGAGGCACTTAATCC